TTCATATCAGCACCAGCTTTCAGCAAAGTTCGGACCACTTCCAAGTGCCCATTGCCAGCTGCCACAATCAAAGCTGTTTCACCATCTTGTGCTGTAGCATCAATCTCACTGCCAGCCTCAAGCAAACATTGCACCACTTCCAACTGGCCATAACCAGCTGCGGCAATCAAAGCTGTGTAGCCAAAATCCGTCTTGGCATCCTTTTCGGCGCCGGCTTGTAGCAAGGTTTGTACCACATCCAAATGGCCATTGCCAGCTGCCAAAAGCAAAGCTGTTGCACCACTGAATGCTGGAGCATCAATCTCACTGCCAGCCTCAAGCAAGCATAGTACCACGTCCAAGTGGCCATTCTGGGCTGCCAACATCAAAGCAGTTGCACCACCTGGACCCACAGCATCCATTTCAGCACCAGCTTCCAGCAAAGTTCGCACCATGTCCACAAAACCATTCTGAGCTGCTGACTGCAAACCGGTTCTTCCATGCGCACCTCTCACGCTGGGATCTTGAGGGGAATGAAGCATCTGTTCAACTTCACCCAAGTGATTCTCAGCGCATGCTGAAACAAACTCTTGGTTGGCCACAGCGCATGCTGACTGCAAGTCCAGCACCACCAACTGCAGACGATGCGGACCAGACCATGGGACCAAAGGATCTTGATCCCCCAAGTCACCCAGCTCCGCATCTATAAGTCTCAACTGAAATCTTGACACCTTCATCTGAGCTGCCAGGAACTCTTTCAGTGCCCTCACAGGTGCCTCTCTCTGCATGATTGGACCAAGCTCCTGCTTTTTTGCTCATGTGCAACATGTTTGAACAGGCTTACAAATACCTAGACGTTGAAAGACTATGCTTTGCCCTGGTCAAGGTAGGGGAAGTTCTCTTTCAGATCCCAGAAAGAGCATTCTATTTCATGCTCTTTATCTCTCAGAGCACTTCGTCTCCCCCAAATCTGAACACGCCCTGAAGTCCTCCTCGCCGAGCTCAGCCACCTGTACGGCAGACATGTTGAAGACATGCAACATCATCGCCGAGTCCCCGAGGGAAGCATCTGCCTCGCCCGCTGCCAGCGCACGGTCCCGCTCCATGTGGCGCTCACACGCTGGGCGGTTGACCGCCTCTTGATTCAGGGGTCTTTCAAATGGCCGGAATGTCATGTCCAATGGTCTCATCGTGTTGTTGCTCAGCTGAGCCAACAAAAAGAGTATTATAGTGACACTATGTGACACTCATACCCAAAGGTGTTTGCTCAATGTTTCTTCACAGCTCCGCGTTCGGAAGCAAAGCTCACTGATGAGTGAGTGATGCCAGGCCGTAGTCACTTGATGCGAAAGTGCCGGGAACTTCGAAAACATTGATCCCGAAAAGCAAATAGCTACGTGCATAACAACATATATATATATACAGTATTATACAGTCATACATAGGGTATATTATGATATATTATGATGGTATATGTATGATTGTGTACCTAGCACTTCCAATGGGTGTCCAATTGTGACCTAGGTGGTCCATTGGTAACCCCTTGGAAGCACCTAATATGTAACTATACATGCATGCTTGCAACTCATGGTGTTTTTAATAAGCGTCCGTGTCAGCGAATCCAGTCTTCGTCGCGAGTGCTAGCTTTTGCCCAGACTGAGTGGGCGGACCCATCCCGACACCCAGATTTCAGCAACTGTCCTCACCAATCGAAAAGAAACGGGAGCCTCTTGTTACTATAGTAGTAATGGCCTCCAAACCTTAATAGCGATGGCCTCCAACCAACTAGCTTTTTGTTACTAGTTTTTCCGGTGCCTTGTTACTAGTCGTGGGCCGCGAACAAAGCAGTGCGCCAGGGTTCACATCTTCCCCAGCCTGGTCACCCAGCATAAAGGTCCACCGATGTCCACCGTCCCTCAGCCAAACAAGTCACTGGTCACCGCCTTTCTTCAGATCCAGCTTGGACCTCCCATCATCCACGAATCGCTTCCAAACCACCTGCGCGGACGCTGATGACCGGTACACATGGTGTGCTGTCTGATGCGCAGTGGTCGGAGTCTGGAAGCCTTCTGCTTTGCACATTTGCTCTCATGGGTGAAAGGTCTTGCATGAGTTCCTGCCTATGTCTGACATTTCATGCACAGCAAACATTGAGTGCACCTAATAATCGACCCTCATGAGAACCTCTAAAGCCATATATATATACACTGTATATCAATATCCATACATTGGGTGTTTTTGTGCCTGATGGTCGAGAACAGGGAACTGCCAAGCACATTCAATAGATCTATCTATTGCATTCTTTGTGTCCAAACCTCTTTTAATTGACCGAGTTCAACTGGGTTGTGCAACATCAAGGTGTTCCAAGAACTCTTAGCCAACAACCAGCTCCACGGCCCCGCTGCAGAGCTTCTGTCTGTGAGACCCTAAGAAGACCACGGTAATGTATTTTGCTTGCACTTGAATCAAAGAAGTTGTTGGTGATGTTCCAACTACCTCCTGAGGTTCGATGGTTGTGGTGGGTGCCAGGGTCAAACCACCGAACCTGAGGATAGGACAGGAGCCCAAACGGGGATGGCCTCGACCGCCCGAACTCCTTCGTTCCGGTGACCCGTGTTTCAGAGTGACCAGGCCCCTTATGTCGACAGCCCCTATCAGCAAGCTATACTAAGTGCGGGGTTGGTGGATGGCCATTTCCAGGCAAAGGTGTTTGTTGGCTCTACACCTCCATTAATAAACACTAGGTCACTAGGCATGGCACATGACCTTGTAGGGGTCCCTAAAGAACCGTCGTAGAAGTCTAGTCTTGCCCATGCTTGATGACCCAGTCCGAAGTACCTACCTGCAGGACAAATCTCTTGGCTACTGATGCCAGGGCCCAAGTGGATACTCAACAAGCACCGCAGCCCACCGGAACCGCTCAACACTTTGTCAAATCATCGTGTCATGCCAAGGCACATAGGGTCCCAGAGCAGAGGCTGCAGCAAGGAGCAACTGATGCCAGGAGCGCCAAGAGAAGAGGTTCACCAAGAAAAACCTCAGGTGGATGGCGACATTTGAACAAGCAATTCCACACTACCTGCCCCGATATAGCTGCCACGTGGCTGCCAGTTGAAAAAGCTATATCCGTTCTTGAACACGCTTGATCATGCATTGAAAGATATGCTCTATCCATTTGCAGGAACACTTTATCACACATGTCTCCATTTAATGAGCGAAAAGGAAACAAAGCTGCAGGGCACGGAATCCACAGCTCTCAGCTCGGACCAGCCGCTGGAAAATGCCCAGCGATAGAAGCAGCCTCCAACGATTGGTCCAGAAGGTGATGCTGCTGCATCCTGAAGATCATGGCCCAATGCGTTCGTACAAGGGATGTAGAGATTGACCACCTGCGTTCAGCATAGTTCAGCCAGTTCTTCATCTCTGATCTTTTTGGGATCATCTCTGACCTTTTTGGGATAGATCTTGGGTAAAATCATGTTGACATGTAACGCTTGGATACTCCAAGCCCAAAAGAAAGGCGTCCGACAGCGTTTTTGCCACTTCACCTCATTTTGTCAGTGAATCCAGCTTACATAACATTCCAAAGACTAAAGCCACAGACCTAAAAGTGATTTTATGTACCCTACACCTCCAAGTACCTCCTCCGAAGGTATGACCGGACCCTCCTGGCACCCACCCCAGTCCCACCAAACCTCAGGTTCGGTACGACTGGAGGCGGAATGGGTAGTGGTAATGAACTATAGGATCCTCTGTCAGGCTATCGAGATGTCTATCAATATCCCCGAAAGGTCCAGGTGATTCAGCGTGGCCATGACCACCGAGGGTCCGGTGGGTCGGAGGGTGGGGAAGGCAACCTGGACCTGACTTCAAGTACCTTTACACTCCGACTCACTAACATGGAAATGGAAAAACCCACTGTTTGTAGAGGAAAGTAGTCTTCCAAGAGGCCATTTTCCACTTCCATGTTAGTGAGTCAGAGAGTACCCATTTTCGGGTCAACTCCAGGTATGCTGGGGTGCTTGCTGGTATCAGGAGGTCCATGGGGTGGCCAGACCACGCACCGGTTTTTTTGACCCCTTGACCCCGCTCCTGGCAAGGGCTCCGCGTGCTTCACGGCGGTGATCTCTAGGATCCGCGCCGTGACCACGAAAAGGCTGAGGAGGGCACCGGTTGCCACCACAAAGGCGTTGCATGGGCAAAGGTTTAAGGTCGCAATCGATGCCAGCAAGAGTCCTGAAGGCAACAAGACGTATAGCATCGTATAGCTGTATAGCATCTATTGGGGGATATCTTCACCTGCAACTAGACATTCCACTGCCACCCTTCTCAACTTCTCAGGTTTGCTATGAGTATGTGGACTCGACCCTTGATACTTGCAAGGCGTGTCGATCACATCCCCATGCCGAGCTCGGGTGGCTTGGCTTCGCAGCTCGGGTGATCAGGTGGGGGCCACAGCGGGTCACCAAGTCACCTCGGTCATCCTCGGTCCAGTCTCACTTCCCCTCCCGAAAACTCACATGGACCCCTGACGATTGGCCCCTGGAAGAGTGTCTTCCTCTCTTTAGGGGGGTAGACCATTCCGGGGCATGCATCCGGACCACCGAGTTTCGGGAGTGGGAAAACTGCCCGGCACCGGAGGGAGGGGAGTCTCCCCTTGACCGTTGCACGAAGTCGCCTCCCTTGTTGGGGTGAAGGTCATGAAGGTCATCCATCCCGGAAAGCACTTGCGGAGGTCTGTTGCAACGGCTAAACCGAAGGCTGTGCAAATCGAAATCGAATGTCCAGTACCTTTGGAGAAAGCAGCATCCTCTGCCAAAATGGAAAGACCAGGTACCTTTGGAGAGCATCCCAACTGCATGTGTGACGATGGTGCCACGTTCTCTCCAAACACCAAAACCTGCCAAAACGTGAGAATTGGTCAGAACACGGGGGCATAGCCAAGATTGATGTATTTGCACATGTCCATTTGCTGCAGATGTAGGTACCCTTCTCCATTTCCAGACCAATCAACAAAGCCCATAGCTAGCACCAAGCACTCCAATTTGACAAAAAATACGGGGTCTTTCTAGGGCTGCATGATTCTATTCCATAGATGGGAGTGCTTGGGTATAGATGATGTGTTGTTTTTCTTAAGTTGTGTTGTTCGCTTATTTTTCTGCAGCTTGATGGGCATCAAGCCACGAGCCGCCGAGCCGCCGCGCCACGCGTGGTACATCCGGGTTGGACACCCTGGTTCGGCCGGTTCCGGAAGCAGTTGAAAACAAGAGCCTCAAGAATACTTATATTGTACACTTCCGGGTCTAGCCGATCCCACATGTGCCCAGCGTCCCAAAAGATAGGTGGTCAAAAAGAAGGGCCCTCCCAAACGCTGCTCTACTGATCGCCCCAAAAGTAGCAGCAGAAATAGCACGCTGGAGCTCTGCAAAGCACCTGAGAAAAGAAAAACACAGACACCGATGGTTCCGAAAGCTGTTTTCTACATGTTTCTCCGGTTGGTGGGTGTTTTGGGTCTGAGGAAACTGCCCAAGATCCGATGTTTCTACCGGTCAGCAACCGGCTCTGGCCCATGGAGGTGTTCCCTAGCCCACAGGCAATCCCAGAACAGCGTAGGCAAATGATCCTGGACGATGTCAGGGGGTGTGAATGTGTCATACCCTAGGGCTCCAACCGCCTCCTGAGAAGATGGTTGGGGTAGACTTGGGGGGTCTAACCACCCTAGGGATACATACTAGTCCCAAAGGTTTTGGTCACTATAGTACTTGTACCATCTTGTGCCCAGTTTCCGACGTACTGCGAGACTCTATAGGTGCCACATGATCGGAACATGTCGGGGTCTTTCGGTCTTTTCAACCATGTTCCTCATTCCAAGTCGTCCCGCTTGAACCCGTCGATTGGTTGAATCCGAAACCAATCTTCCAGGATGTCCATCAGGAATGCTTGGAGAGTCTGGACGGTTGGATTTGATGATACATGATCCACGACTGATGGATGGGAGGACTGATGGATGACTTGAAACGGTGAAACAACACCAAAAAGGACGTCAAACGAGTTGGTGTTCTGATTGATCTCATCACTTCCAGGGCTCCACCCAGCTGGCTCCACCCAGCTCGCAGCTTGCATCCCCGGTCCCCAACAACGGGCCAAAGACCGGCCCAACGAAGAAGCACTCCCCCGGGTGTACTCCCGTGGATGGGGGACTTCTGTTCTTTTCCGGCTCAGCCCAGCACCGGACAGCGCGAAGCAGGGAGCGATTTGGGACACGACGTGGCCCATGTGCACGCCGCGTAGAGCGCCAACGCGACGCCAGGGTCTCAGCGCCTCAAGCGGCGCGGTACGGAACGTGGTGTCCAAAGAGGTCGGAAGGGGACGGCATCACGACGGCGGGGGTTCGACCATGTTCCAAGGAAATGGAGTGCCAAGCTCCAGTCCTACTTTCTCAGTCTTTGGACCCCCAGTTGGGGGGAATCTGTCCCAAAGATCATGCCGAAAAGAGGCCGTATACTACTACATGGGCCCGTACTTTCGGGTCAAGAGATCATGGGATGATCATGCCGTCCAGGGGCTTCCCAACGGGTCACCGTGTGTGGCATTTTGGAGGGCTTGATCTGTGTACCCTATGGAGTTTTCTGCGAGACAGCATCTAATGTTTCTACTAAGTTAAGTAGACTCAACTAGACTATCTGGTTCTAAACTTGGTTAGGCGATATGAGTAATGGACAAAGTCTACGGTTATAAGAACCTATTGGGGATGGTCATGGTCGGCCCCCCTTGCCCTTAACAGGCTAAAGGAACCACAGGGTCTTATTGTCCAATCCTGAGAGCAAGATTTTCCCGCCGAACCTCAAAACATCAGGGTGCACCATTTGTATGAACCATCAGAGAGACCTCGGACAACCCCAACCCGTTTTGGTCTTTCTTCCAGGGGGGCCGTTGTCTGGGTTCTCCCTATTCCATTCTATGACACACCCTAAGGGTCCCGGACCATCCTGAGGATGTCCTTTGACCCCCCCAAGACCATTCTCTGGAAGTACGTACTCACCTCCGTTCGACCCTCCGAAAAGGAGGTACCTGGACCCGAACTGCGACACACATGCAGTTCTGTTCGTCCCAAATGCGGTCCAGCAAACCATCAACGCCCACGTCAGCATCACCATCGAAGTGCTCCAGGGCGTCCGTGCGTACGCCACGTCCGGGGAGCGTAGCACACTCACCCGGCGAGCGACTGCGTTTGACGGGTGGACCGGTCGACTTGTGTGGCACACGCGACATGGCCCAAGAGCAAGCATGACTTGTTCCTTTCTTTTTCTTTGTTTCTAATAGCGATGGCCTCCAACCTACTAGCGATGGCCTGCAACCTAAGAGCGAGCATGGTTTTTTGTGCGAATTCACGTGCGAGAACTTCATCTTGGAAAGGGACCCTAAGTGTTCTATGCAACCAATGCATCCTTGTTCTGGGACTTTCTCAAAGGGCATGTGATAACATGAGTTGACACCGGATCAGCAACACCATGTTATATCTACTCTTCTTACAACATCGTTGCCCAGTTCGGGCACTCGTTCATGCAGTGCTCGGGCCGGGAAGGGCACTTACAATGTCGATACATTTGGAACGGAAAGCTTTGAACCAAATGCCGGTCACGCCGACGACAGTGGAACTTGAGCCAAGTCAATTAGCCAGAGGAAAAACACCTTGGCATAAAGAAACCTATAGGCGAGGCTGAGAAGACCTTTACCTGGTTCAAATCTAATCGTTGCTTGAATCAGCTGCAGGGGTGCCACATTAGCCGTTCGTTTCAGAACGGGAACGGAATGAAGCACAGAATCGTTCCTGATATTTTTGAATTGCCCGAGATTCCAAAAGGAATTGCCAAGATTGTGAAGAAAAGGACATTGTGACTACATACTCTGTTCACCTCTATCTGGGCGATCTTATGCCCAAATGAACACTGCCTGAGCCAACGATCCATAGAAATCAGCAGAATCCGAACCCTATGGATCCTATGCTCCAGTTCCTGTGCTTTCGCCGGTGCTTGGGTCCGAGCCCCTCTGCTCCGAAGACAAGCCGATTCCCCGCCTAACCCGTCTTATCTATGGTTATAAGAGATACAAATATAAACCTCTGCAAACCAAAGAATACAATATATTATTTACCATTGCAATCATGCATGCAATTATTTACAAGATGTTGTGGTTTTTTCAATAACCAGCCCTCCCTTTGATGGTCCTCGAGACGTGGTTTTTCGTCGACCGCGGAAAAAAAAAGCACCTGCGCAGCGTGACCTTGATGCTCCTCCAAGGAGGCCAGGTGTTGGCTGTTGGACGGCCATCAGTGTGTTGTTTGGCGGTGTGATATGGTGTGATGGTTCACAGATCAAACGCATGCCAGGTGTTGTGTCCGATTCTTTATCACGACAATTGATATACTGATATAGTTATTATCACCAACATCACATAATTATCAATTGAAGTCCATCGCTACGTTTCGATGTCCTTTTCTCTATCAGCTCACCCTCCCCACAGGGATCCACTGCCACCCTCTGAGGTACGGGGATGCGTTCGACACAGCTGAGACGCACCTACGGAACCTACAGTAGTGGTTCAGTACACTACGACGGGATCCCTAGGGTATCATCCGCAGCGTGACATTCAGCGTCCACGTAGACCGTACGACCAGTAGACGGTGCGATGGGATCCCTATACCCAGACACTCCATGTATGCCATATATGCCTACATTGGGGTGGTTTGAGGGGTCAATGTAGGCATATATGGCATACATGGAGTGTCTGGGATAGGGAGCTGGATCCAGTTTTGGACGTCGAAGGGCCTGGACACGATCCGAATCTAACAATTCGATGATGTCCGATGCGGAGGGGAACTGGGGGACGACACTGGGTGTTGACCGACCTGGGGAAGACCCAAGTGCTTGAAAAAGAACACATGGAAAAACAACACACCCAGTCGTTGCAGCGCTGCTTTTCCTCCATAACACATCGTCCCATACTCCCCGGCTACTCGCGCTCCGCGCAAGCCCTTGGTCCGTCCACGCGACCCGTTCGACCCGGCCCCGCGTCCGAACTGGTCAGGGGTCTGGGGGGTCGAAGCCATCCAGTGACACGGAGCGGAACAAGACACTGCTCCGCTGTGCTGGGCGGAACAGGTCGTCTCCTTCAAGGTCCTTTCCAGCGCAGCCTCGTGCTGCTTCCTTTGCTCCTGCTCACATTGCAAACAAAGCCTCATTGTAAAATTGTCTAAAAACCTGGTTTTTCCTGTTTCCCTCTACAAAAAACATGGTGACCATGGTGTTTGTATGTGAATACTTTTGAGGGCCGCGGCCACTGGTAATTGCCACAATGCCATCCTTAATCGGCATTATTTTTTCACCTGCTGAATGTCTGGCCCTCCAGCATAGAAAATATATGCGCAACGTCGCAGAGAACAAAAGGGAAAGGCAACACCGCAGCACAATGTCCGCTGATCAACCCAAGTTGGCACAAACCGATCAAGTATCACCGCTCTTCTCAAGACAAAGCCGCCTCCAAGCCACTGTCCAGTGCAGCAGTGTGTTTCAGCTTGTGATCCTTCCGCCAAACGTGGCACAAGCAAGGAGAAGTAGCACCACCAACAAACTATATGATACATGCACATGTTAAGACCAAATTGAAGACCAGTCAGTGCAAATTGCTTGACATCCTAGCTCCACATGAGATCCGGTGAAACCTCTCGTGATCTCTCGTATCCTCCAAATGGCGCCAGTGTTGCTCATCGTTCTCCTTGCGTCACGTCAAAGCAGTTCATTCACCATTGGATGAGGAGCTGGGCGTTCGGAACATGACCATGAAGGAACAATGGGTCGTCTCCTTCAAGGCCCTTTCCAGCATAGTTTCATGGACTTTCTGTTGGTCCTGCACACATCATAATGATGTCAACCGCATAAAAACGCTCAACTGTTTACATTACAAATGCCCTCATTGCAGGAGGTTGTAGTGATGCTTTCACCTGCTGAATGCAACTAAGACATAGCCTTTCACATGCGCAGAAAAAGCATAATGCATGCACACATCCTCAATAAGTCCATAAGGTCCCCTCAAAACAAAAATATCACAGACAACACGGCACTCTACCGCTATCCCTGAATACAAAAAGAATGGCACACAAACAAATTATCCGACATTAAACACCTCCAAAGCACTTTCCAGAGCAGCAGTGTGCTTCACCTTGTGCTCCTGCAGCAGCCGGATCGTTGCCAGAAAATCCAAAATCCCAAATATAGCTCAAACCTATTGTCTACACTGCCAAAAAACAACCGGAATTGAACTAAATCCTGACAACTCTCCACACAAGACCT